GCCCCGGGCAGCCGGGCCCACAGAGGCAGTGCGGGTGGGGCCGGGCACCAGCAGCTGGCAGCGGGAGGGCGGCCAGTTCCCCTCACCCCCACCTCGCACGGAGCGCAGGCATCATGTTGGCTGAATGACTGAGTGACCCAGCGTCTCCCTCCGGGCAGCTTCAGCTGCTTTTCCAGTTGCACCCGACCCCTCGGGCCGGGTCAGGGGGTCTGCGCTTCTGAGGCAACTGGGGGTGATCACTAACTAGTCGCGGGGGCACTTCCCAGGGAAACCGAAGCCACACCGACATGCTCAGCCCGGAGCCCTGGTTCTGGGGGCAGATGCGGGGCCCTGTGCCAGTGCGGGAGAAGCAGCGGTGGGGGCTCTGCCCCCCGACCAGCGTGGCACCGCCTGGCCGGCTCAGCTGGAGCTTCCTCCGGGCGGCTGGGCACTCTCGGGAGTGGCCGCCCGGCAGTGGCGGGGGCCTGACCGCTGGGCCCTGCCCCCCCGGAGCCGGCCCCCCCAGGACCCCTGCTCCTGGTGCTCACCTGAGGGGTTGGGAGCCTGGCTGGCAGCACGGCCCCCGGGGCACGGAGAGGTGCTCTGTTCCTCCTGAAACGTTAAGACAGGCGTTAGCCCGCGGAGGCGGGGTGCGGAGCCGGCCACCCGCTCCAGCCCGCCCACAGACCCGCTTCCCACGCTCTACTGAGCACCCGGTGCTTTATGATCTGTAACATAATGAACGTCACAAACAGATGAGACCCCAAGTCCCGGCTGTGAACACTGGGCGAGGCCGCAGGGGAGGAGGGCTCTGCCAGGCAGGGCGCCCGCCCACCCCGGGGGACTTCTCTCAGCCACAGCACAAGTGGCCTGATGCCAGGCTGGGTGCCCATGGACCCCTCTGCAGGCCAGCGGGCCCGCTACGGGACCCCGCCAAGCCCGGAGGCGGGTCTCGCTGGCGGGCCAGGAGCTTGCGGGTGCTGTGTGGGCGGGCTGGAAGCCTGGGGGTGTGGGCGAGGCCAGGGCCCCCCGGCCCGGCCGACATGACTGGGCCGAGGGAGGGAATGAGGCCTGCTCCGAGGCTCCCTCCAGCCACCAGCAAGCCCATGAGCTCTAGGGCCTGGCCGGAGTCTCCGGGCAGCTTGCAGGAGGCAGGCGTGAGGGGGCGAGGCAGCGTGACCCTGGCCCCGCCGGGGGCGCCTCTCGCCCCATGTGGGCGCCCCCTCCTCCCGCTCCCCAGCTCCCTGAGCTGCCCACCTGCTCCAGCGCCTTGCGGAGCTCAGGGCAGAGGCCACCTCTGGGCAGCAGAGGCCGCAGGGCCCGTTCCAGGCCTACCGGAGCCCCTGGCACACCTTCTGCTGCCCTCCTCACTCTCGGGGGCCCCCCACCATCTCTGCTCCCCACGGCCCAGGCCCGTCTGTGGCAGCGCCCCGAGCCGGAAGTGAGGCTCAGCTCTGCCAGAGCAGGGCGGAGGCGGCGGCCGCTGACACCCGCTTCCGTGCCCGCCTGGGCCGGGGGCTCTTGGACCCAGTGGCCACCTCCGGGGCAGGACGCCACGCTCCCAGCAGGAGGTGCCTGCGTGGGCTCGGCTGCTGGCCACTGTACCCACTCGAGAACCTCCCTGGCTCCTCCCAGCACCCCGTGTCTGTGGGGTGCACGAATGTATCTGGGGCTCTGGCCAGAGCACAGGCAGGTGCCCGTGTGGGTGGGTGGAGAGCAGCTCTCGGCCGGGCAGGGCCAGGCGTGAGGGGCAGCACAGCCCCACCGGACGCTCCCTCGGGCGCGTCTCCGAGCAGCCGGAAAGGCTCCCTGCACTGGCGGGAGCCGGCGTCAGGTCTCAGCGGGCCAGGCCGCTCAGCCCTTGCCGCACCTCCGCCTGGGGGTTCCTCGGCGCTCTCAGCCACCGGCAACTGGCCCTGGCCATCCTCTCGGCCGGGCTCGCCCTCCCCTAAAGCCCTGCCTGCCCTCCGGGAGCAGCCCAGGGTGTGCTCAGGGCTTCCCAGCCACCGAGCCGTGGGCCTGCGCCCTCGAGAACCCGCGGTGTGGAAAGCCGCCCTGCCCTGGGCAGGCCTGGCGTGGGCGGGGTCGCGGCCCATGGACGGCCGGCCTGGCAGTACCAGGAGTGGGGCCGCGGGGGAGCGTGCCATCCTTGCGCTGAAGGAGTGCTGTGGGCTGAGCGGGGCTGGGGGCCAGGGGACCAGGGGCAGGGGGCAGGGGCGGGGAGGGTCAGCCGGCTGGCTGGAGCTGGGGCACTGGGCACGCTGGGGCCGGGCCTGTGTCTGCTGTCCAGCCACTGAGCCGCAACCGCATGCCATCGTCGGAAGGTCGAAGGCGGCCACTACCGTGTCTCATGGGGAAGCTGACGCCGAGGAGAGGACACTGGCGCCTGACAGGGGCAGCAGCTCGGAGCTGGGCCAGAGGCCCAGGCCGGTCACCCGCCACGGCTCCCCCGGCACCTGCCCATGGCGGGGCCATCAGGGTCCTCTCCTGCCGCGGCGCCCCTTGACCTCGTCCCCCCGCTGTCCGTGGGGCCCCCCCAGCTCTGGGTGGCCTCATGGTGTCCCTGGGCTGCCGGCCCCCTGCCTCCCAGTCAACCCAGGGGCCTGTGGGCTCCTGCCACAGGGGCCTCTGGGTGGTGCGGCCTGTTGTCCAGGGCATGGGGGACGGTGCCTGGGCCCTCTGCCCCAGCCACCCTCCTATACGGCCCCTGGTGAGCCCCTACATGTCCAGGTCACCCAAGTGCGCCTCAGCACCCTGAGGCCGGGGGTGCGGGGGTCCCGTGGGTGGGGGCCATGGGGGGCCCGTGGGCAGGGCGGGGAGGGGGCTGCTTACCGTTTGGCTTTCGTCTTCCTTTTTGTCGGCCGGCTTGTCTGTTTGGGAAGCTGCTTTTCTCCTAGGACGAGGAGGGAGACAGGACCCAGCTCCTGAGGTTTCCACACTGACCCAGACACGCCTCTGGCTGGACACAGTGTGGTCCCCGGGGCCCTGACCCACTTTACGTGCAGGAGGCGAGCGCCCACGTGGCATGACACCGCCGGGCCGGGTGCCCGGGCCTTGCTCCCCTGTGGCCCTGGCCACGACGGCGGCCGTGCAGGAAGGGGGGCTCGGGACCCTTCCTCAGTCTGCAGCACCGAGGGGAGGGAGCTGGTTTGCCCTCAGTCCGGGATGCCTGGGTGCCACGGGGAGCTGCCCTCGGGCCGATGTCACAGCACAGGCGGTGGCAGCCCGGGGCCCCGCAGCCTGAAGCTCCCCTGCCTCGCACTCTGTTCCCAGCTGCTCTGCCCGACCTGGACGCCCTGCGGGGCCTGGGTGGGCTCAGAGCAGCAGGGACTCCCAGGGGCTGGCCCGGGCGCCTGGCCCCTGGCCCCCCCAGACGTGGACTCCCTTCCCCTGGCGCCGGGACTCTCTCTGGCTACCCGCAGCCCTTCGCTTGCCCCAGACACACGCCTTCAGGAGCGCCACTTCTGGGGGCACAGAGCAGCCCTCAGACCCGAGCCCGGGCCCCGTGGCCCTTCACCCTTCCCATGGCCATCACTGCCCCCTCTGCCAAGGGCGAGGCCGCCTCCCGCCCGGCTGCTCCTTGCAGCCCGGGGCGGGGGCTTTGTGCCAGAGCCAGGGCTCAGCTTCAGGCAGAGCAGGGCGGCTGCTGGGCCTCGAGTCGAGCAAAATGTTGCTGCAAACGCTGCGTCTCATAGCTCAGCCGCATCCCCTCTCTGTTCCCGAGAGACCGGCTCAGGGCAGCGCGGGAGCCCGTGAGGCCCTGGCCTTCTCCAGTCCGTCCTGCCGCCCAGCACCGGGGCGCGGCCCTGGTTCTCCGAGGGGCCCCGGCACCCCCGCAGCGTGTGGGTGTCTCCCAGGCTCCTGCTCTGGGAGCCTCCTCTCCGCTGGGTCTACCTCACCGCGCCCAGGGCTGCTCACACATGGGCTGGGCCTGGCACACAGCATTTCTTTTCCAGAAAAAGTCTCCCACTCTCACACGAGGCCCGCAGGCCTGAGCTGGGAGGGGCTCGCTCCGCCCACGGGCCTCCCACCTTGCCGCCCCCCGGCCCTGCTTTCTGCAGGACCTGCCCCGCTCCCGCCTCGGCCGCCTCGGCCTCCGTCCAGCAAGTGGGGCGCTCCTCTGTGGGGCCTCCCTGGGAGGCGCCCAGCCTGCCGAGCCTGCTCACGGGCCGCCTGCCTCCTGGCGACCTGCCCTCGCGGGCTGGCTGGGCGCCCGGCTGAGGCTCGGAAGGCTGCGGTGGACCCCGCTGCCCCCTGCAAGGGCCTCTGTGGTCCCTGACCGTGCGCACAAAGGCGGGGCCGCGAGCCCGAGCTGCCCTGTCCCCTGGGCCCATCTGTGTCCCTGACAGGGCCGTGCAGGGCAACGCGCGGCGCCCTCACGGGCAGCCGGTGGGCCTGCGACGGCGGGTGATGCCGCTGCTTTTCTGGGGCCATCAGGGACTCTACTGGCGGGGCCGCCCGGGCACCCCCAGGCCCGGCTACGGGCTCAAGCAAAAGCCAAGGTCGGGCTCCCTCTGGGGCGGGGCACGGTGTCCCGGGCCCGGTGTCCCGTGGGGGCGGCGCAGTGACAGGCGTGGAGGAGAAGGCGCGGCCCGCCCGGCCCGTGGGGTGGAAGTGTCCTTCCGTCCCTCAGGCCGCCAGCACGCCCAGCTCCTTCCCGGCAGCCTGCCCCGGGCCCCCTCATGCAATCGGGGTGGGCTCTGGGCCCCAGTACTTGTGCTGCCTTTTCCCAGCGGGACACGCGCTTCCCCCGAGACTGACCTCACGGATGGCCTCGCAGCTCACGGATGGCCTGCGATCTACCGCAGGCAGAGCCTCGTGCGGGGGCCCTGCCGGCTGGGCCCCGGGGCCAGGCCAGGGCTGTGCCTGAGGGCCGCGACACCCACCTCTTGGCCAGCAGTTTGTTCATCTCCTCCATGAGGCCGCCGCCCCCGCCCCCACTGCTGGCCCGGTTGGTGTCGGACTTGGAGGTCCCGCTGGGGCTGGAGCCTGCAGACGCGTCTTCAGGCTGGGGAAGGAGGCAGGGCTGTAGCCTCGGGTGGGCGGTGGGCAGCACCGGAGGGCGGAAGGGGCGTGCGTGTGCGTGTGCGTGTGCGTGTGCATGCGGGCGCCCCGCAACGGCGGTGCTGGGGGCCGGTGCCGCCCAACCTCCCGGCCCCAGCGATGACGAAGCCAGCGGCCGAGAGGGAGCGGGCTGGCCCCCGGCCGGGCGGCCTCCCGCAGCCAAGCCCGCAGGTCCTGGGGAACGGGGGGACGAGGGGGAGAGGGCCACGGCCCGTGGGGTATCCTCTCTGGGCGCTGGGGCGCCGGGCGAGGCCAGTGTGCGCATAGCGCGCCCCCGCCCCCCGCACGGCTCTTCACGGCAGCAGTCGGGGCGCCCCAGCCCCCCTGGGGACCCTTACCCGCTGGACTCGTCTCAGCTTGGCCCCGGCCAGGGCGGCGGCCAGTCCCGACACGGAGCTCTCGTCGTGGCTGCTGCCCTGGGCCCCTCCGGCTGGC